TACATAGGCCTGAAGATTTCTTCTTCACTTTTCTAAGTCTTCTAGACGGATCCCTAAGACAAATTTTTCATTGCAAGAGGAAGTCACAATTTTACGTGGTTTTACATGCTGTGAATTTGGTACCGAAATTCCATTGTTTACTACTTAAAAATTAAGTAAAAATTATTTATTTATTTGTAATATTGTTAAAACTATTCAAATACCACGGTATCTTATTAATTTGGAGTTAGCATTGAAATTCCTTTCTAAATATGCATATGCTTGAAATGAATATAAACCATTGTATACACTTAATCACAACTGGACATTCAATGAATTGGCTGTGGTGATTAAAACTGTAAAAATTTACATCGGGAGTCTAGTTTTTTATTGTATAGTATATCAATAAATCAATAACTATGCAGCGATGAACAGTCCTCAAGTACAGACCAACGAATTATTTTCAATTTTTATTCTTACAAATCATAAAAGCTCCTATGAAACGTATAACTAAGGCGTTGAAATGAGTTCAAACTGGTATATAAATCCTTCAATGCATGCTGCAAACCCCGTTTAAGCAGATTTTAAAGACCCTGGGACCTCCGTTCTCATTAATTCAGATTGTGCTTCCGTAAGACAAAGTCCACAAAGTTTTAATAAGCCACACAAAGTGGCCAGGTTATAATCGAAATTAGGGTAATACTATGATACTCATACTAAACAGAATTTTGATTGGTGATCACATGTTCACTTTTAATACTCTACGAAAAAAGCGTTGTCTGATGTACTTAGTTCATTTATATTTGAAAAGCTTATTCGATGAGATTAAATAAAACTGTTAGGATGGATGAAATACTCTTGCTAACCATATTTCTTGAATAATGAAATTGTTGTTTTTTACATTGCTTTGACACTAGTATACATTTTTCTATAATGGATAGAGGACAATCCAAACTATCTAGTCCCAGAATTATGATATATCTAAAATCCATTGGTGATTTGCAGGATTTGAGTCAGGGGTTGCAGGGCTGAGCTCTCGCGCTTTAACCACTTGACCTGACGTTCCCAAACTATATTTTAATTAATCAATGTATTGTACTGTATGAAACACTACTGGTTCTTGATATATTGAGGAACTATGTTATGTTCTGTTCAGTTCCAAAGGACCATTAAGGATTTCCTACAATAACTATCCATGGTCAGTCCATCGGATTAACGCAATATGTTATTGCAAATGAAAGTCTGCAATGGTTTCTGGGCCCTGTAAACGTATATCCTCCGACCTTCATTAAAACGAAAGTTTGTGAATTATTCGTGTGTGTAATACGTGTAAATAGTGAAAAATAAACGATATATTATGTTTGACCTTTTCTCGGTAGAAATATTTGACTTTTGGAGCTGCAGTGTTCGTTTTAGAGTAGTTAAATACTGGTGACTCAGATATTGTGTCTATGTTCACTATATTTAGGCCACCTTATTGGCATACTGGTTAACCTTTTCCCTTTGTATATTCTTTTATGACATGATTTTATGTCTGTTGAAACTAATAGTTATTGTAAGCAAAATAATATTTTGTACCATGTAGCACACTTTTTCTGGAATAAATAATCTTTCATTATTATTTTTTATTTTGTATTAGGCACTGCACTGTAAGATGTATTGGGCGGGTTCCCACTCAATAAATTAACTGGATATTTTTTTTATATCCATCAAAATAATGATATATCTTCTCAACCTTCTTCGATCCCCATGTATAAGTATAATTTGACTCATTTTTTTCGACCTTTTTACAAACTCATTATAACTAAGGTGTTAATGTAAAAGAATCTTAGAAAATACCCTAATATTTTCATAAATAGAAAGTATATTATATTTGAAGTTAGCTAGAGGTTTAGTGCGGTATACGTAAAACGTTCGTTACAAATATCAATTTAATGTAATGTATCATGGTAGAATGAAATTGCAGGGAGGTTGATCTTAAATTGGTTTGCTATGTACAAATCGATTAGGTTTGTAGCATCAAAAAAGTCTAAACTTGTTTTAACCACCTGAATAAACTGACGAATTTGGGGTTAGGATTGATATGTTTGGTGGGAGCTATCTATGCAAGACAACATTTCAAAATGTTATGTTTCGAAGGAGGCTTTGTGTGCATGGTTCACATTGTGTGATAACAAAAATCGTTTTTAAATTTTTATCTTATTGATTTTTTCTATCCAATGTAAAAAATTGAGATAAAATAAAATTATGAAACCACCACATATATTATCGTAGACTATGATGCACAAAATACAAGACCACGATGTTCTTTTGAAAATCATCACAAAATAGTAGTATACAGTTTTAGAAAAAAAGTAGAGTATACACACTATTTTACAGATTGCAAAATATTTAACTCAACTTACTCTTTTTACTTACACCAAATGTTCCACAAAAACACTGCTTCATGAATTTTTATTTTCTATTGACGTTTTTACGAGTACTTAATTTAAAGAATCGTAATTACTTTAAATGTGTATACATTATTAGTATGTTGTTCTGAAACACTGTATTAACTAATATGGGCCTACAGCTATTATTTAAAAACCTCATTTGCATATTTTCTTCTATATAAACATAATTTGCAAATGATTTTCCATATGTACCTCATAAGTGACTATTGTTTTTGTATAAAGATTATTTGGCCAATTATCAAGTGCCATCAATGAATAAATTCCGTATTCAATTATTATTCGTCTAGGATATACAGTGATTGCAATAATGAAATGTGTCATAAATTATATGATACTTTATATGACAAATATAGGCCCACTGGCCGATCATCATATAGTCATTCAAATATGGCCACAATATAACGTGGCAGCTGTATAAATGACAGGTAACGCATTTCAAGTTTGGGTACCATATTCATTAAGCCTTTAAAAATTGGCTGTGTAAAGTAGCATATAAAAGGATATCGGTGTTAAAGCAATTTCATGACAATCGGTAGTAAAGAAAATCCGGATATATATAATGTTTTCAATTTTTTTTTAAGAATCACCATAAGTAGAAAAACGTTCCAAAAAGGCGTACAAAAAAGTCTGTTCTAGAACTAGAACCAGGATTTAAAACTTCTTGATGTAACAAAAATGAAGATTCAAATATTAGTTTATCGTAGAAAAGGGAAAAAGTGAGGTTATGTTTTCAAAATTGTCTGAAATGGTAACAGTACGGGTAGGTTGCGTAAAAACAAGATCCGCGACTGGTTGTTACCAGATGACTGTTATTTATAATCATTAAGCTTGCAATGTTTATCCTACTCCACAGTGACTAATACAAACACCCAATCAAACACCTACTTCATTACTACGCCCCCGTGTCGTCAACAATATAAGTAGCTAGGATAAATCAAGCATCAGCTGGTAACAACAATGATGAACAATAGAATTTCAATTACAACTGACATGACTATCGGTATTATTTATTTTTTAATCTGCATACCGTATTGGTATCATGGTAGTACGTATGAAGTATGTAAACATACTTACTATATAAATATCTGCTAGTATATTAAATTAGAAAATTAGGGATGAACACTAAGTACTTTTAAGTTCATGTTTTGTTATGGTGGGTTTATGGTATTTGAGGGACTGTTGTAGACATTTCCCATTACAATTGTCTTACAAAAGTTTTCACAACTTGAAAACTTGTTGGAAAGAAAACTTGTTTTTTACTAATATCGTTGGAAATTGTCAGTAACAACTCTTAAAATACTAAATAATTTGTTTAATATGATTAGTTATTCTTTACAGACAACTCAATTGAATATTCCTTAGCCATGTCTATTTTATAAGGATCATTTAGATTCGCTCCTATATTATAGTTAACCTCAACATAATTAGTTGAATTCAGCTGATTTTAATAGTTTCTTTTATATCAAAACATTACTAAACGTATCTTTTCACTGGTAAAATTTGACTTTAAAATAGTCTGACAGCTCTTGATATCTACCAGGAAAGAAAAGTGATCTATGTGAATAAATCCCTTAAATTTATATATCATCCTTAAAGATGAGCTGAAGACAATAATAGAATAGGGTGTGTTTATCTCTGTTGCCGATTAGGCAGGTCGATATATAATATTAATTTATAGGCTACTTTACGAAATTTGGAATTTTTATTAATAAATATAACTATGTTTTTAGGCCTCTTGTAATTTTTAACTAATCCTCGTATTAGGCCTATATCCTAAGAGTGAAGTGAAGTAACATCACAGTTGTCTTCTGTTTACTGGCATTATATGTGGTACAATTTACTCTAACATAAGGTAGTTATATTAATTCTACCTCAACACACACCGTGCATGAAACAATCACCAAAATACTCGTAAGCTTAAATTTTTATAATAGGATGAGTAATCTACTTGAAGTGTCCAAAGTCAATGATTGGAGGTCTAAAGATGTGTAGGTCTATTCAGATAAATGCGAAGACTTTCTCTTGGTTGTTGGTTATTAGGTATTTTGGTTCTGCTTTGCCTAAATTTCATTGACTATGAAGTACCATATAATTTGTCAACACTACTCTAACAGTGTTGGAAAGATGATATTCATCTCTTTAAACATGTTTACTACGATAGGCTTTCTTTTTTTACCTCCAGAAAGCTGGGGACTACTTAAACCTTGTGCAGACCCAGAAATATTTCGTAATTTCGTTACATCTACAGTAATTGTCATTTGTTGGAAAGAGGATGACTAATTTTCATGACTGAAGTAAAACTTCATAACAAAGAGGAAATTGTTTCTGTAGGAGATTGAGCTATTTGTACAGTATTAAATGTATGTTCATTAAATACTTACGCCCTCATCATTATTGTACAAGGCGTGGAGCTCTCGTCCTTTAATGACAGCTTTGTATACAAGACACATTATGTCTTTGTCCATGATCCATTATTAATGATTACTCGCAGCATTTTCAAGGACAATAAGAACCTTCATTTTATGTAGTAAAAGTTGATGCAGGAAAAAAATGGTCATCTCACATTTATACATATTTTATTTATATAATAATTAAATATTTTATTACATACAAAACAACACTCATCAAGCTTAGTATGTAAAAAGAAGAAATAGAAAATGTTATACACGTTTTGATAATAGACGATTTTTCAACAGAGTTCGAAGAATCGAAGTTATCTATCATCTATCCAAAATAGCTATACAAATCGCATTCTTTTTTACACCCACAGATTCTCTTAAAGCATATATTACAACAAACGCTATATAAATACTATACAAGCTTTTGGATTCCAAGTGTTTCAATATCATATCGATCTAAGTGAAGCATGTAGTTTTCCATACTTCGATATTTTATTTTTCATTTGTTCAGCTGTTAATTCCAAGAATTGCGCAAATAACCAGTCTTACTATCGTAAAATACAACTATAATATTAATATTTACACATCCCTTTTGTTATTTACATTGTGTACAATATATAATAAATATCTTGTTAAAATTTAACGAAAAAAACAACACAAATCGAAGGGCGATATTTATTTTTATTATTGTGCAAAGTTAGTTCATCTGCAACAAAGTTAAGTATATGTTTATTAGTTATAAGCTTGTACACATTCGTAATAGTTGGTAGAGCTTTAATTTTCTGATAATTCTTATGCTTGTTTTTAGTTGTTCAAACTATCAAGGTTAATGCGTCTGTTCAATGCCTAATAATACTGATGTTTCAATTTGTATAATATATATGACCAGTTGATCAAATTGAAATTCATACAAAAAATAACATTGTGTCTCTTATTACTACATTTTTTCAAGCAAGCTTTATAAATTTAAATTCTGATTTAAAATCATGATACTGTGTAAGTTCTTCACAAATTTCCCAAATCAAACATAATATCGATAATACATAAAAACATGGTTGGAATAAACATATTCCTACAACCATGTTTTCGGACTAAGTAAAAAATGTGTATACTATTTTTATTACAATTATTGAACAGTAATTAATTTTTTTTATCTATACGCACTAATTTTAAACCGTGGTATAACATTGATCATTATTAAAAGAGTTGAATTTGTTTTCCGTGTAATATTTTGAGTTAAACATGTTTTCCAAGCTTAACGTCATAACATTACTTCTCTATAAAGTTTCAATTGATATACAATACAGTACTAAGTTGTTCCCGTGTAATTATTTTCAAACTAGGTAAATTAGGTATAGCTTTTTTACTTTGGTAGCTAAGTGAAATCATATTAAATTAACAATGACAAGATATCAGAATAAACAATCATACTAAAAATGAATTTAATATGACAGTACATTTATTTGATTCGTTTTATTTGTAATCATATTTATTTCAAACACTAAAAAATTTCACAACACAAAAATTTTGAAATTGAAATATAAATATGAAACCAGAGAGGTTTTGAATTTTATGGGCTGTCCAAAAATTAGTTCTTTATAAAGTCTTTTAGTTTAAGAATCATATCAATAGGTGTGTTTGTACAAACAGACGGAAATCTTCAAGCTTGAAATCACTATACACTCCTGCAGTCCCTGAAACAAAATAAAACACATTGTCATTATAATATTCACCATTTCACGCTGTTATATAGAGATTTAATCTTTATAACTAAATGTCATCCAGTTTAATAATATTTTTAGCCAATATGAATATTAAGAACACAAATTAGACTGTCAACAAAATTACCTCAAGAATTTATGGATATCAATCAAATACATGTTTTATCTAAATCTCAGAACATTACAGTGTGTTTTCCTGCGATCGGAATAAAGTTACAGATATGAACTTTTGTAACAGCAAAATAATATAATTCATTTTTTTGAACTCGTTTATTAGGTTAATTTGTATACATACAAATATAAAACTAATTAAAAGTCAATTTACTATTTAGAACCTTCAGTATACGTATACACCATTATTTTTGTTTGCGTGAATGTCTTATAGTCGTATGTTACAATAAATAATAAAAACCATTTTTTTATAGCTTTTTTATTGTTGAGTGTGTATATTTGATTGACATGTAATGAATAAATGAACTTTGAAATCGCGCTCATAATATTCAACACCTTTTAAGCAATGCTTCTGAAATTACAACCCCTTCTGATAAGAAGAAGATGAACTTTTCAGTTGTATCCTAATTTTGTAAAACTTTAAGGATTTTTGAGGAGGTATGTGTCGTATGTGAGAACAGATCTTATCACAAAAGATACTTTTTTTTCTACGTTATTATAGGGACCTTCAGCAAAAAGGAGGCTTTTTTAAAGTATCCTTAATTTTACAAATCTACAAAAGCCCAACTAAGTATTCATCGACGCAATAAAAAGCTATATTTCTAAACAAAATAAATAAAAGCAATCTCCTGCGCGTGATTCTTGGAAACAAACAGAAAAAGAAAACTAAAAATCGGAACCGGCTTCAGAAAATAAAACAAGTCTGAGAGCAATATACCGCCAACCGATTTTCTCAAGCGATCTACGAGTTAAGAGACCGTTTGGAAGCAACTGAGGTTCTACACATCGCTCGACTCACAAAGGTTATTTTTTCACAAAAGATTCGCCGCTCGTAACGTTAACGTGACGGTGTGACGCACTAAAGCAGTAACGCAGTAACGCTCCGGGAGGCGCATGTGAACTCAAAGTGGTCGTTCGAGTATGGCGACTGCTCGGACTGCTAACTGCAAACTGCAAACTGTCCGCTGCACATGTCTTCACCACTTGCAACTGCCTCAATTAGCTCTTGCAACGTCCCCACTCTAACGGTCCCTAGTCTGCGACTCAGTATAAATACTTCCCTCTAATGCTTTCGCGAAGACTTAAGACTCGATAGTTCCGGATAGTTCTCACTAAACCTCTACTCTCTGTGTGGTACTTAACAGTGCAATTGTAGCTGTTTCAAAATCAAGCAGAGCTTTTGAACAGTTAGATTTGTCCGGTTAGTGACCGAGAAAAGTTTTGGTGTAATTTTTCATCCGATCGAGATATGTCATCCACAATGGCGTGCGGCCAAAAGTGTAATCTTTCACTCCTCTATTTTTCTTCGGCAGCCAAACAGGCCAAATGTTATGTTTGTGTGTATATATTTAACAAATATCAAAGACAATACTCCTTTAAACTCTGAGATATTAAATCTAAGATGCCACTAAAACATAAGCTCTCATAATAATTACAACATTCATAAGAATTCACTAGCTTATGGTTATGTTGAGGTATCTTAAAATTAGAATCGCCTAATAAAACGGACACATGCAAGATTTTAAGTATATGTATTCTAAAACTGTGTGAAGTAATAGCTGTGAATAGTTTAAAATCACCTTTCTCCCAGTAGCACCTCACTCACTTTGCGTTTTAGAAAGTTCGCGAGAATATTTTGATAACATCCTATGGGATGGAACCAAATAAAACCTACACATTCTATGAAGGGGAAGGTGCAGATGTCGTGGTTCTGAGGTCATACTGCATATCATAGAGGTAAAGAAATTACCTGCAAATTTCACGTAAGTAAATGTAAGATCAACTACACAGAGTTTAGGAACACCATATTCACTCGTGATTGGATGAGGTATATGTTGGATAAAAATACATCCTTTAACACCATTGAAAAAAAAATGCCCAAACATTGCCTGGTGGTGTATGCAAAAACTGAAAATGTAGTAGAACCAACAGAAAGAATATTAGGAACACCTTTGCGCAGGTAGAGAAAGTAAGTCCACGCACGTGTTAAGACAAACGACATTGAGTATAAAAACACCATATCCACTCCTAACCTGGAAAAGGTAAGGAACACCTAACGAATGTGTTAAGACCAATTGTATGCAGTTTAGTAACATATCTACAGACCTAGGTGGAGAAGGTAAGTCCAGGAACACCTTAAGATCAACAATATTGAGTATACGAACACCATATAACTCCCCGAGATAGAAAAGGTGAGTCCAGGATCGTGTTACAGCCAACGGCGTAGAGTCTAGGAACACCCTATTCACTCCACCTCCTGCATAGTGTCGTGCTATGTCCTACAACGACATATCGCCGTATTCCCTAAAAGGATACACGGGCCTCACATCGGATGCCGGCCATGCTGTATTAATTGTTTCTAGTTAGGACTTTCTCTGGACGTTCGCACCACTAATCACCGCTCCACGCCTTTCACTCCAACAGCGCTAATTTGCTCACAACCCAACGTGGACGCACAGAGAAGTACTTCGGCGACTCGTCTCCCAAGGTTACTGACGTTAACTTCCTGGTACATTTTGTATTTGGGTTGTACTTCGTACTTACTGGTTCTTTGAAATAAGTGTTTGAAAAGGCTTACGTAAGAAACTAATATTTTACTTTTACAACGTGGTTGGCATTCTAAAGAGTATTGATTTATGCTCAAACACAGCACTTATGATATATAATCTCTTCTTTGCTTGCCAAACAACCCAGCCTAGTTCAATTCTGTATTTATAGCCAAACTTTATCTCATAAACAAACGTTTAACGTAAATAAATACATGTATATCATGTAACAGTTGTATTTAAAACACCTTCAGTGCTGGAAGAATTTCAATGAAAAGAATTTATGCGGCTTAAGCAATACTTTCATAGAGGAATATCAAGTTAAGGTCTAAGAGAAAATTTAAATTAAGTACTGCATCCGTGGTTAAATTTTGTAGAATTTATTTTATGTCAATATACGTAGAGTTTCGAGCTCTGTAATCATTAGGTAAAATATTATTCTCTAGCTTGAGTTAACATTGCAAACATCTGGCTGTAGGTTTTCGAACAGGGGACCAAATATATCAACAGCCATAACCTTTTGTTTGCAGTAGATAAAAGATACCTCACTGATGCGCCATGATACTTCACCATTTATGTAAATAATTAGACCAACCGTACTCGATTTTAAAGATACGACAGCGCACAGTATGGAACAATGCTGATATGGAATCAGATACTGCTGCTCATTGTTGTTGAAAGGGGAAAAAGGATAGAGAAGCTAGAGAAAGAGAAATAGAGAAGAAGAAACAGGGACAGAGAACATTGTCCATTGTCGATCCGTTGCGCATGTGTGAACAAGCACGATTGTAAGTCGAGGTAGCACCAAACTATCTCATTGACAGGTAAGGCAACACTGAACAACTGATCATTAACGTGTTTGAAGGCTGAATGCACATCCTCATGAACCTCTCTGGAAGTCTGGTCTGTGCAAGAACTTCCTATCTTGGCAAATAATTTGTATAAAATATATATACTTAGGCATACTTTCCCATAAAGGTAAAATTGAATTTGCTATGAGGGTGTAAGTGTAAAAAAAGTAAGTGTAAGTGGTGTAAAATATGAAGTACCCAAGTAATTCAAGTTATGCGGTAAAACCACCAGATACTTCTCGTTCATGATCACATTAATTACTTATTTTGACCACACTTCATGAATACATCTTTGAAGTAATTTAAACGCCCTAATGGATGATATTTGCCAAAAATATCGTTGAAGTATAATATTGAAAATATGATTATTATTTAACATAGGTTGTCTAGCAAAACTGTTGCGCAGTGGAACATCAAAGTACAGAACATAGTTTACCATTTATTCATCCGCCTCCTGGGCAGCTAATTGTTCTTCCTCTTCCTTGCTGAGGGGTATCGTGCTGTGGTTGTACAGTCCCTGGGCCATCAGTTGCAACGCCAGCGGATTCTTGGTGCCGTTGGCCTTCTTGATCTTGGCTCTCTTGTTCTGGAACCAGATCTTGATCTGCGCCTCATTCAGTCCCAGCTCGTTCGCCAGTTCTTGTCGCCGCTTTTCCGTCAGATATCTGTTCTCTGAGAACTCACTCTTGAGTCGAGAAAGTTGCTCTCCGCTGAACGCTGTCCGAGGCCTCTTCTCCTCCGGTCGCTTGTCTTTCCTCTTTATCCTTCTCGTCCTTGGACCTGCAAAGATCATAGCTTTGAGTAACTAGAATAAACTGATGCAAATAACCATAGCAATATTTGTGCTATAGATAAATCACACCTAAAGGTTCGAGGATTATTAGTAGGAATAGTTAGGATTTAGTTAATTTTTTTAAATAGCCGTTGCTTTTAAAAACCTAGTTTACTAACTTGTGTTTTGATTGTACAAGTACATTTTAATAATCTGTTTAGCGTCAACTTTAAAATCATAAATAAAGTCATAGCTAAACAAAAGCGAACAAAATGTTTTGGCGATTTTAGTCATATAAATCATGTTCTAAATTGCTAAACTGTTGGCACATTGTCACTTAAAAGATACTCTTTAAATTGAAAGCTCAAAGCATGGTATAACGGACATCGATTTAAAATTTGTCTGGCTGCTATGGCAGTAAATAATGTGTAATAAGTACCAAATTTCCTAAGTGAGAGGACAATAAACTTTCGTAACACATTCTTTCACTTCTATAATTGATTAAAGTCGTTAGTTAACTGATTCCCATTTAACAATATCTCTTATTTACGACACGTTAAATTTAGTTAGTGTTAAGTGAAGTCATTTACTAAATAGTTCATAACCTGCTCGTGTAAATTACGTTTTTACCTCCTTTGTCGGAATTCCTAATTAGAGCAGGTCTGAGATAAAAATTGTAGGCATTTAGATAAAGATGAAACAAACGCTCGTCGTTAGTTCGTCAACGACTATCGTTACCCTCGGCTTTCACCGAAAGGCAATAATCGTTAAGGCATGGATTCGGTCAATTCAAACGTTTGCCTACTCTCTGCTAATTGGGTGGCCACAGCGGCAATTAGAAAATATAATTAGTGAAAGAAATGTTTCGAAGACTAGATGTCGATGATGCAACGGCTACGGTGTTCGGCTACTCATCCTGTCACGAGAGGCGGTCCCTTCTGAGTCATCCTTGGACCATCCTGGTCTATTGGTCTACAGTCATCTTGCCTTTGAACCGCCCATCCTGAGTCATATTTGGTCCATCCTGGTGTGTCTATGGTCTACTCATACCCTGACTTATGTGTTATCCTTGGACCATCCTGGTCTATTGGTCTACAGTCATCTTGCCTTTGAACCGCCCATCCTGAGTCATATTTGCTCTATCCTGGTCTGTCTATGGTCTACTCATACCCTGACTTATGTGTTATACTCGGACTATCTTGGTCTATTGGTGTTCTGAGTTCAACCAAATCAACTGATGGTTAGACACATTATATCTTGCTCCGCCGACTTTTCTCCTCGGATTAATCTGCGAAGCTTTCTCCCAGTCACTGCTCAACTAATCATGTCACTCTTTCAACATATCCTTGACATTCCGCCAGTAATTCTTGTTACACACAAGGCGCATCACCAAACTTCTAACATCTTAACAACAATTACTCCTTTACGTGTTGTAAATACTAACTTTTCATCGCGATGTTGTAGAGATTATAATGAGCATAACAAAATAGAAGTTATAATTTAATCATTTCTCATTGGTTTATTTTGGACATTTGGCAAAATATTAAACTATTCATTATCTTTAACTTTATGTAAATAGTGTTGTAAATATGCTCTCGTTTGTATAAATGACGGGAAAATAATCCGCGGTAGTTAGTACACTCGGAACGAGCTTAATTGAAACAAACTCCTGGTAAACGCTCTTGTTTATCACCGCCTTCCTGCTGATTTGCATTTATATGGGGTAAAAATGTGTCAAATTGCCGGCAACTTTTGACGATCCAAAAAGTTCTCGATAGTTTAATTACACATAATACTCGCCATCAATACTCGCCTGTTTGGCACCGGACTTGCGCGGCGGGCGGCACTTAGCATAAACATCGCGTAACTAGCAGCGGCAACGGCAACGAGTAGTTAATAATTAGAAAACGTTTATATCAAAAGTAGAGTCGCCTATGTTTAGTATAAACGGATCCTAAAGAGGATCGTTTTGTTATTTTCTTTAAGTCGGTTCTAAAAGGGTCATATATTCACTTTAATTAGGTCTCTAAATTCCAGTAGCCGGCAAAAAACAGAAAACGGCAGCGACGGGTGATGAAGTACTGAGCAGTGAGCATCGAGCATCGAGAAGCGAGCTGTGAGCATTGAGCGAGCAGTGACGTGAGCAACCCCGCTGCATGCTGATTGCTGATAAAGTCCTGATTACCAGATCCGCGGCTTTAATTCCCATCCCTAATTGCTGTATTATTTGAGTACCGGTGCAGGCAGGCTCGTAGAATTAGTCATGCGAATGTTAACAACTTGTTTCTTTAGGTCGACTTAGCGGTTGCTCAGATGTTTAAATTATGTAGATTAATTATACAGCTTGGACACACAAGAGGAAAACTAGGCGACGATGTTTTCATGTGCACTTAAGTTGAAATACGAGGAGCTGCGTATAAATAATACATCCTAATTTTGCTTTTAAATCTGGCGGAATTGCATTATTTCGAGTGGCCATTCCTGAAGACCTTGGGAGCGTAATATTAGCTCTAAATAAATCCCATCGGGCAGTTTTTTGTGAAGCTGTTCGAGAAGCAAATCCCAGGGTTTTCTAATCTGAATAAATATTTTATGGCAATTTTAAACCGCAATGCAAGATTTTGTTACCTATTAAAATTGTAATAGTATTCTACAATGATGATATTTATTATTTGGCTGTTTTAATACTTGAATTGTATCATTTATTGCAACCATTTTTCTTGATCTACTTATAAGTGATCCTCGCAATATGCATTTTTTTCTATGAAGCTATTATAAGGAAAATGTTACAATAAACTAAACTGCAATTTTATTATGCATGTAGGCCTAAGGGAGGTTACAAATTAAAAGAAATACTACGTTTAATTTGGTAATTTATGTTTAAATTGTTCCTTTGGCTCAGAGATTTTTTAAAGAGGTTATAAAACAAAATTTAGATAAAAAATAAATGCCGGGGAATAATAAACCCTTGCGTGTAATTATTGCACTATTTTATTTGTGTTCAGCCGATTTCGACAGATTTTTTGACGGTTTTTCTTTCTAAATATTATTCATTGTGCATACATTTTCATCCAGCTTGTTTCAGAGTAAAAAGTGCTAATCCGTTTCACACTTTAAAAAAACTATGACACCTGAAGTCACAAACTGTTACAAAATATTTCCTTCAACGCAACTTTTCAAAAGGCGAGTTTGATGTAAATTATTGAAAACAAAAAAGTTCTATTCCTCAAAATTTATCCAAATACAATACTTGATTTATGTCAATTTTAAAACCGGTAGTCAAAATGAAAAACAGGAAATATGAAAAGCTAAAATCATAAAGGAATTCCAACAATCGTCTTTGACTTCAAAAATATGTCCATGTAACCGGACCATCAAAGTAATTACCTTTGACTGGCCTTGTTTACTTACAGCTAATTACCGATGATCCAGTTAATTATGTAATTAACGGCACATGGGAGGTGTAAGGCAGACGGATGGCCCATGGCAGCGGCGAGAGAGAATGCCACGTCGTGGGTGGTCGCATGCAAAACGCTTTTAATAACCAAAACGCGCATTACTATAATTCAGCCCGCTATAGGTGGCCCAGTGCGAACACTGCACAGTGCACTAGACCTGGACAACGTGCACTCTCGTGGCATAGCTCTAGTCTCATCCTTAGAATAGTCAATAGTATAACATTTGATGGGTGAAAAAATAAAATAAGTCCAAAACCCGGTTATAACTTTATATAGCATTACTATAAGCAGATGCAAGCACAGTTTAGGGTTAAACTTTGTGCGTAATAATCAAATAATGAATAAAACAGATGATTGAAATGTACGATCGGTTTTGCTTTCTTACTCTTGATATCCAAAGAAAAATTATTGTAAAACAACCTGTATCTTGGTGATCTAGCTTTATTTGACCTTTAGTTGGGATTACAGTTTTAATAAACGGCCAAAATCGTGAGTATTTTGTATAAATTAAGGTGATCAAATAAAACATAGCAGATAGGAATAGGAATTGACAGAAAAGCAAACTTTATGTTGTGTTGAACTTTTTTAAATAGTATGAATACGAGTAAAATCTTAAAAAAAACTAGGGAGTTGACGATTAAATTTTATTTTAAGCCGGCTTTTAAACGAAAATTAACTCAACCAATTAGTTAATTTATAGTTTTATTTCATGATTTTCCGATTTCCTTAAATTAGAAGTCACACATTGACAATCTGGCCATGATTGAACGGAACATTGAATCACATTTTTACATAATCTAATACTGAATCTTTACTTCATGGACTTTCTAACGTAACAATCTATATACACAAACATGTTCTTGGCCCTCACACCATAGTACTACAAGAATTTATATTTTTTACTATGTAGCCTAAATAAGACGGTACATTTAGGATTACACTATTTAAGCTTAAATTAAGTTGTAATTAACAGTTTTTATTTCATAATATATTTTTAACTATTCCATTTATTCTATTATTCTGCGTTGCAAATAAAATAATTGTAATTTGCCATTTAAACTTTTATTTTGTAGTGAGTTCAGATTGGGTTATTTCTTTTATTACTAAATAAAAGTGAAAGCCATGAAATGAGTATTTAATGGAAACATATAGCTTACTTAAAATACCCTGAAGAGACAATTCGAGTTCCAAAATGAATCTATACCTCTTTATATGATAAATAGATATAAAAAGGGTGATAATGTTGTTTACAGATACGTTAAGCTGTTCGGAATAAAGTTAAGGAGAGCAGGACAATTTTAATAACGCGTTATTAATCCACTGCTGACTTGCTCGATGATTTATAACAATATTCACTTTCCATCCGTTGCATGACAACTTTAAATCTTCATTTGTAAACGATGTGGTTTAACAAGGGTACAACGCAATGAGCTGATTATCTTCAAAGTGATTGAAGTTACTATTTTTAAATCTACTCCTCACAATAAAACACAACTATTCAACTTCGCATTTCCCTATGCAATATTCCCAACCCAGCTGTTGTAACAATA